AAGTCCTGCAGTCTGAACGTAGCCAATCTGTTGGATTGTTCAGTCAGATAATACGCCGTTATCCTGATTGGTGACATAAAATGTCATGTTGGAGTTGGAATCCAAGGCTGTCGGTATGTTAAGGCTATTTTTAATGGGTTCTGTTCGTTTTTCCTAAAAACCTGTTGGACAGCAAGGTTTTCGGATTGTTAACGGTCGGATTATTGTCACGACTGTATTAAAAAATCTTTTATGTTGGTAAAGTCTACAATGTCTTGCCATCTTTTGTTACTTGTTTATGTCATTTCCAATCAAAAAAACCTGTCTTCTAAGCTAAAATTAGATGTAAATCAACATTTTGTATCAATAATTTGGGGCTCAACTGAGTTTAATCAGCTGTTCTCAAATCAGCAAAGGGTAAAGCCGTTAATGCAGGAATGTGGAGAATGACTTCTCACCATAGCGTCCATCGTGTTTGATCTCCAGCTCTATCAGGGCATAGGCGATGGTTGTGTTAACAGGAATCTCCATGGTGACGTTGCTGTCTGTACCCAGGCTCCCATCCTCCTTTAATGAAACCTGAAAGAGTACAAGAACTGGCTGAGACAACACATGAAAAAACAAAACAAAACTCACCAATATAATAAAAAAAACACCCTAAAGGCATTAAAATGAAATAATTAGCCTCATTCCAAAGGATTTAAAAACTGTTCAGTGTGGCTACAGTAGAATTTAACAAAAGGAACCATTTTCATCCGCCTACAAACAAGGATACGAACACAGTAAATTCATAGATTTGGGTTCAGCCTTGGAAAAAACAAAGGCTTCTGTCTCTGAGCAGTTCTCACAAGTAGCTGACTACAACACAAAGAGGAAGCAAATGAAGGAAGTGAAATCAAACTAAACCAGATATCTTGTGGTATAATTGGAACAAATTCCATTTGACGAGTTCTGCTTTCTCCACTTCGACACACAGCCCACGGTTGGCATGCACTCCATGAAACTCATTCTGGGAAAAGTTGAATACCAATAACTAGAGAGGAAATCCCATAATCTATTGGCTGGAATGTAGGCACAACAAAAAAGGAAATTACTGAATAAAAAAATACGCCACAAGGCTGAATTCTCATACAAACTGATGGAACTGGTAAAGACAAGATTCTTTTTAAAAAAAAACTAGCTTGTGTATTACCACATCAACCCTCTAAACAACAGGAAGTTCTTTACTCCCATCTCATTTTTACTCACTGTGTGCTCATTTTAAAGCCCTACATCTATATGGAAACAGCACAATCATGGGTAAAAGTAGAGATAACTTAAAAATGTCCTTTGTGCAGTTATAATGCCATTTATCTTCTGTTTTTTTTTTTTAATCTTTTTTTTTTTTTTTTAAATAAGAAAAAACTGAAGTAGAATTTCTTTGATTGTTATTTTACAAAACTCCCATCCATCCATTATTTATTATTTTTATTCATCCTCACTAGGGTCTTGGGGGGCTGGAGTCTATCCCAGCCGACTTAGGGTGAAGGCAGGTTCACCTGGACAGGTAACCAGTCTATCACAGGGCTACACTTAGAGACAGACAACCAAGCACACTGTCAATTTAGAATCACCAATTAACCACAACATGTTTTTGGACTGTGGGAGAAAGCCAGAGAACCCGGAGAGAACCCACGCTGCACGGGGAGAACATGTAAACTTAACGCAGAAAGATTCCGGTGCCCCCTCCGGGACACGAACCGGCGAACTTCTTGCTGCGAGGCAACAGTGCTAACCAACTGCGCCACCCTGCAGCCCATTTACAAAAATTGAAAAAAAAAACAGAACTGGAATCAACATGTAAAACATTTTACCAAGTGTCAACAGATGTACCAATATTTGGAAAAAAAAAAAAAAAAGGTGATGCTACACACTATAAACATTTTACTCCTTATAATTTTTGACATACTCGTCTCCTCTCTGCTTGGTGTAAACACAGCCTGCAGTTCAGCCGAGAACACAGTTGCTTCTAGGAGTGCAGAATTTTATTTTTTTTGTTTATACAGTATCTGGTTAGCGCAAACACTTTATCCCTGGCGAATTTTTAAATGAGATATGTCAAGCAAATGTATTCTGATTAAACACTTTAAAGCTTATCACAGATTAGTAGCTGTAGGAGAATCAGAAAGTTGACAATCAGTCGAGTCCTTGGTGTTTTTACAGTTTCTGGCTCTGACACATGCTGTANGCAGGACTTCACACTGCAGTGAAAACTGTACCCACAGTGAGCAAAAATGCAACAGGAGCAGAAAACCCAGAAGCTGCTTTGGGTTCAGAGAGTTAACTATAACGAAACAGGCAGCAGGAACATGGAAGACACCAGAGTAAACTGCTATAACAAGTAAAATCTAATTAAAACACTGCGTGCCTTTACACTCTAAATGCATCATTGCACCCTAAAATACCAACACCACATCTTATCAACACACAGACACCTGCTCCTGCCACATGAAGACTGTCAGTGTCGACACATTTACCACAAACTCACTTCAAACAGGTTTGATCCTGATTGAAGCCCAACAGAGCAGAAGTATCTCTACACTGGGAATCAGGCTGCGACCACAAATCTGTGAAGTGCAACTAAACATTTTTACAGGTCGCACCTGACATTTACAACAAGTGTGTCTCTGTGTGAATTTCAGTTATTTTATTTTTCCACCCACATTTTACACTACATTGCCGTTTTTTGAGAGACGATACTGAATCACAAAGTTTGTCTTTTTGGATGTTTTGATGTCTTTTATACACTTTATTGCTGCTACGACATTCTGGTAATGGGGTTTACTTGTGTTCGCTGGCTGTTTGTTGCCGTCACACAGAATTATCCGGTCTCCTGTAATGTGACACTGTTGATGCAGAAACCGTGTCTGAGTGAAATCATGTGAGACGTCGGGTCAGCAATTACGAAGATGGTCAGTCGGCACTAAACGCACCACAAGTCAGGATTCATGAAGATCTCCAGCACCATCACTGGACCACTCAAACTAAAACCTACATTTTTAGTCTTTCTTTCACACAGCCTCATGTGATTTACTCGTATCAGATATATATATTTCCTGTATTATGACACTTGTATTTCATTTTGCTACGTTTCATCTCCATTTCTTTCATTTTATTTACATGTCGTTTTTAATTTAAAACACTTTGAGATGCACTTTATATATAAACTCTGCTACAAAAATAAAGTTATTGTTGTTAATAATACTATTTTGTGATATTCTCTGTCTTATTAGATGCTGATTTTTCCTGATAATTTGTTAGTTTTAGAATAAAAGTGATTCGTTCTAAAAATTCTTGGAGTGTCTTGGTATTGTCTTCACAACAACAAACCGCAGAGGACCACTGGTCTTCGAAATCACTTCCTAAAAATCATTTCATAGACTTGATTTCATGTGATGTCATCCATTTTATTCAT